ATTCTTTCTTCAACCTTCCGACATTAATCCTTCTTTCTCTCGTCCGCCATCCTCTTGGGTTTTGAACCGTTTACACACTTCCGGAGTCGCCACGTCCTTCAGTCAGGTCTGAAAGACGTCACGATCAGTGTCTAACCGAGGCAAATTTCTTTGCACTCGGCGGGGCTCGAACCTGCGGTCTTCGGATTGCTAAGCACAAGCTTAACCGCCTACACCACCCTGGCCACGCGGCTCAATCACCCATGGGGCGTATATATAATGGCGACGGGCGCCGTTGGACGCTGTGGTGTCGGTGATATCTCGAGAACGGATGGAGCTATCGAGAAGCATCCAAGAGCAAAAATGATCAGACAAATGTGCTCCATTCATCTAAATACATATCAAAAAGATTCAGAAGTCATTTGAGGATTCAGATGACACCGATAAAAATTATCCAAAATATGACTTGATGTTTATCAAATAAATGACAAAAACACGAAGATTGTATGTCGTCACAAGGAGCTGTCTATTATCACTGAACATGCATGCAATACTTGCAAAAAGGGGTGACTCAGGTATTACGGTGTGAAGACCACAGGATCGAGCTTTCTTTCTCTCAAACTCACTCTAGAATTCTTTCTTCAACCTTCCGACATTAATCCTTCTTTCTCTCGTCCGCCATCCTCTTGGGTTTGAACCGTTTACACACTTCCGGAGTCGCCACGTCCTTCAGTCAGGTCTGAAAGACGTCACGATCAGTGTCTAACCGAGGCAAATTTCTTTGCACTCGGCGGGGCTCGAACCTGCGGTCTTCGGATTGCTAAGCACAAGCTTAACCGCCTACACCACCCTGGCCACGCGGCTCAATCACCCATGGGGCGTATATATAATGGCGACGGGCGCCGTTGGACGCTGTGGTGTCGGTGATATCTCGAGAACGGATGGAGCTATCGAGAAGCATCCAAGAGCAAAAATGATCAGACAAATGTGCTCCATTCATCTAAATACATATCAAAAAGATTCAGAAGTCATTTGAGGATTCAGATGACACCGATAAAAATTATCCAAAATATGACTTGATGTATATCAAATAAATGACAAAAACACGAAGATTGTATGTCGTCACAAGGAGCTGCCTATTATCATTGAACATACATGCAATACTTGCAAAAAGGGGTGACTCAGGTATTACGGTGTGAAGACCACAGGATCGAGCTTTCTTTCTCTCAAACTCACTCTAGAATTCTTTCTTCAACCTTCCGACATTAATCCTTCTTTCTCTCGTCCGCCATCCTCTTGGGTTTGAACCGTTTACACACTTCCGGAGTCGCCACGTCCTTCAGTCAGGTCTGAAAGTCGTCACGATCAGTGTCTAACCGAGGCAAATTTCTTTGCACTCGGCGGGGCTCGAACCTGCGGTCTTCGGATTGCTAAGCACAAGCTTAACCGCCTACACCACCCTGGCCACGCGGCTCAATCACCCATGGGGCGTATATATAATGGCGACGGGCGCCGTTGGACGCTGTGGTGTCGGTGATATCTCGAGAACGGATGGAGTTATCGAGAAGCATCCAAGAGCAAAAATGATCAGAAAAATGTGCTCCATTCATCTAAATACATATCAAAAAGATTCAGAAGTCATTTGAGGATTCAGATGACACCGATAAAAATTATCCAAAATATGACTTGATGTATATCAAATAAATGACAAAAACACGAAGATTGTATGTCGTCACAAGGAGCTGCCTATTATCATTGAACATACATGCAATACTTGCAAAAAGGGGTGACTCAGGTATTACGGTGTGAAGACCACAGGATCGAGCTTTCTTTCTCTCAAACTCACTCTAGAATTCTTTCTTCAACCTTCCGACATTAATCCTTCTTTCTCTCGTCCGCCATCCTCTTGGGTTTGAACCGTTTACACACTTCCGGAGTCGCCACGTCCTTCAGTCAGGTCTGAAAGTCGTCACGATCAGTGTCTAACCGAGGCAAATTTCTTTGCACTCGGCGGGGCTCGAACCTGCGGTCTTCGGATTGCTAAGCACAAGCTTAACCGCCTACACCACCCTGGCCACGCGGCTCAATCACCCATGGGGCGTATATATAATGGCGACGGGCGCCGTTGGACGCTGCGTTGTCGGTGATATCTCGAGAACGGATGGAGCTATCGAGAAGCATCCAAGAGCAAAAATGATCAGACAAATGTGCTCCATTCATCTAAATACATATCAAAAAGATTCAGAAGTCATTTGAGGATTCAGATGACACCGATAAAAATTATCCAAAATATGACTTGATGTATATCAAATAAATGACAAAAACACGAAGATTGTATGTCGTCACAAGGAGCTGTCTATTATCATTGAACATGCATGCAATACTTGCAAAAAGGGGTGACTCAGGTATTACGGTGTGAAGACCACAGGATCGAGCTTTCTTTCTCTCAAACTCACTCTAGAATTCTTTCTTCAACCTTCCGACATTAATCCTTCCTTCTCTCGTCCGCCATCCTCTTGGGTTTGAACCGTTTACACACTTCCGGAGGCCACGTCCTTCAGTCAGGTCTGAAAGTCGTCACGATCAGTGTCTAACCGAGGCAAATTTCTTTGCACTCGGCGGGGCTCGAACCTGCGGTCTTCGGATTGCTAAGCACAAGCTTAACCGCCTACACCACCCTGGCCACGCGGCTCAATCACCCATGGGGCGTATATATAATGGCGACGGGCGCCGTTGGACGCTGTGGTGTCGGTGATATCTCGAGAACGGATGGAGTTATCGAGAAGCATCCAAGAGCAAAAATGATCAGAAAAATGTGCTCCATTCATCTAAATACATATCAAAAAGATTCAGAAGTCATTTGAGGATTCAGATGACACCGATAAAAATTATCCAAAATATGACTTGATGTTTATCAAATAAATGACAAAAACACGAAGATTGTATGTCGTCACAAGGAGCTGTCTATTATCACTGAACATGCATGCAATACTTGCAAAAAGGGGTGACTCAGGTATTACGGTGTGAAGACCACAGGATCGAGCTTTCTTTCTCTCAAACTCACTCTAGAATTCTTTCTTCAACCTTCCGACATTAATCCTTCTTTCTCTCGTCCGTCTTGCCTTTGGGTTTGAACCGTTTACACACTTCCGGAGTCGCCACGTCCTTCAGTCAGGTCTGAAAGTCGTCACGATCAGTGTCTAACCGAGGCAAATTTCTTTGCACTCGGCGGGGCTCGAACCTGCGGTCTTCGGATTGCTAAGCACAAGCTTAACCGCCTACACCACCCTGGCCACGCGGCTCAATCACCCATGGGGCGTATATATAATGGCGACGGGCGCCGTTGGACGCTGTGGTGTCGGTGATATCTCGAGAACGGATGGAGCTATCGAGAAGCATCCAAGAGCAAAAATGATCAGAAAAATGTGCTCCATTCATCTAAATACATATCAAAAAGATTCAGAAGTCATTTGAGGATTCAGATGACACCGATAAAAATTATCCAAAATATGACTTGATGTTTATCAAGTAAATGACAAAAACACGAAGATTGTATGTCAACACAAGGAGCTGTCTATTATCACTGAACATGCATGCAATACTTGCAAAAAGGGGTGACTCAGGTATTACGGTGTGAAGACCACAGGATCGAGCTTTCTTTTTCTCAAACTCACTCTAGAATTCTTTCTTCAACCTTCCGCTATCAATCATTCTTCCTGTCGTCCGATTGTTCTTTGGGTTTGAACCGTTTACACACTTCCGGAGTCGCCACGTCCTTCAGTCAGGTCTGAAAGTCGTCACGATCAGTGTCTAACCGAGGCAAATTTCTTTGCACTCGGCGGGGCTCGAACCTGCGGTCTTCGGATTGCTAAGCACAAGCTTAACCGCCTACACCACCCTGCACAGGCAAACCGCCACGGCGAATTGAGAACGAGCTGAGGGTGAAAAGCCAAAAAGTCCGAACTTTGGGCCAAATTAGGCCCAATATGAGGGGGCACAACAATCTGAATACAAATGTGAATGAATTGAGGGCGAATTGAGGATGAACAGAGTAATGGTATGAGTAAATTATCTTGAGGACGAAAAGAGGACCAAATTTGGGCCAATAATGATACTATGAAAGAGAAGCTGGTGAAATGCGGATGAAACGCGCATGTGAGGGGCTCGTCCTTTGGACAATGATGCAGTCAATTTTTTCAGAACCTTTTCTTTTCAGCACTTTTATAGCGTTTCATTTTGTGATTACAGGGTTGATTTTCGGTTATGCCTCGTCGCACGTACAAATACTTCCAGAATAGGAAATGTTAGTGGAGCCATTGAAAACAGTAGTGACATGAATGTTCAGGTGACAATGTTGAAGAAAATGGTGAAGAATGTGCTCCCGTAGAAGTGGACGATAACACTCAAGGAACTGTAGATGAGTCAACGTGTGTCTATCAGAATGTGGCAGAGATTAACGAAAGAGGAACCGAATGTGACAGTTCTGGTTCGTTCTTATAAAAGTAAATATAAAATGCAAATGTTTAGAGCTTCAAAAGTATATGAAATCCATTCCTACCAATGTTTTGACATTCGTTACTTCCGCATGCTTATCGAGATTCTCTGAGAGAGGTACACTTTAACAAAAAAGAAGGATGTCGTAGAATAATATCATAGATTTTCAACGATTCCTCAGCAGTCATCCACCGGAGTTCCGCGAAGAGGCACGAAAAGTGTGGAATTTTCAAAAAGGGAAGTATTCTGTGATGCGAGTGTGCAATGAGTGTGGAAAAGTGTGGCAAGATGTTAGAGCGAAGTGGTAAGATTTCGATCACAACTAGATCCGTAGACATCAAAGTTTCATTTGCAGCAAAGAGTGCGGCGGCGACGTACTAAAGTGTGTTAGGATAGGGGCGTTTCCTCAGCTCTGCGATTTAGTACAGTTTCATTTGCCCAAAATTCTGAAACTACGAGAAGAGCTACGAAGTGGGAGAAACAAAACACACAACCTGTCAGTCTCTTACCTAGAAAAGCTTTGGAAAATGGAGAGTGTGGAGACTGGAAATACCTTAAAATTGTCCATTTTCGCGTCTGTCGACGGAGTCAGTCTTCACGGGAATTCAAAGTAAGGAATCGAACGAGATGTCATACAAAGTTGGTGTACTTTTAGGAAAAAAATCTGGCCATGCACTCTCAAACTTGCTGATCTTCCCACCGCTGAAATGCAAAAGTCGGAAAATATTATGTTAGAGGCTATAGTTGAAGGAGTGAAGAACCCATCTACAACTTTCTGGAACACTTTATTGCCTTTTATTTTCACCGATATTGAAGGAAAAACGGGACAGGTGAACGGAACGTCATTTTCTGCCAAAATCGTCTCATTCACGGCCGATCAGCCGGTACTCGGAATACTACATGCACTAAGTAACGAAAATTCCACTTTTTCCAGGCCAAGAGAAGTTTGTTCGGATTCGCTGCTCCAAATTCCGAATTAAGTTGTTTCTACGGTCTTTGTTCGGGAACTTTGCACAAAAAACGTGGACAAGGTCCCACAAAGTCCGAAATTTCTAGCTGAACAATAAATCTCGTTTAGAAAGATACACTGTGCGTCAGGGCGACCTGACGAAACAAGACGGACTGTCAGGGACCAACGGATTCAAGAATGTACCGCCCAAGATTCTTGATAAGATTCTCCCATACGACACAATTGTTGACGTCTTGCACAATCTTCCAGAAGGTCTCCTGGACATCATTATGACCGGTAATCTTCATCTGCAACTCCCATTATACTGCTTTCTGTTTAGAAATGAAAGGAACCACTAAAAAAGCCAAGTCTCCGTTGTTCAAGGATCCCAACGGCACAACAGAAGCATTAGCCGAAAACGTGTTGTGCTCTCCGTATTTTCGAAAAATGAAAAGACAAAGGAACGCCACGGAAAAGCTGAACGTATTGCAATCATTCCAGATTGTTGGGAACTTCAAAATTTGCAGTATTTCCGAGTTCACATTGGACTTGCGGCACTTGTCAACGAGAGTATAGATAGCAAGGCGCGCGTCGTTCTGATCTCTCTAATGCTTCTGTGCAATCATATGTACAGTGGATGTGAAATAGCCGGAGGTTTCTACTTTCATTTATGCGACGTAGCAAAACGGGTTTTGATGGAAGCGTCTCCTACGTACATGACAATCAAAGTTCACGTTAGTTTTTAATTTAAATTGTGTATTCGATGAAACAAGTTGCAGGAGGTCTTGGAACACCTTCCGTACGTATTCTGGAAGTTCGGAAACCCAGCTCCATTGAGCACTTTCAGTTATGAAAGCTACTATAAGTTTTCTTTGACCGGATTCAATCCGCAGCTTACAACTGGATTTATAGAGACGGCGGCTATGAGGTTCGTTGCACAAGTCGGACGAAGGATATAAAAGGATTTCAGGGTTCTTTTGCATGTCGCCGCGCGACGGGAAGTGACGAGACGAGCCGTTGATGCACCATCTGAAGATCTCGATATGTTTCTTCGAGAAACATCAGATTTGCGACCTTTTCACATCAGCTGGAGTCACCGGATTGATCTACGGACAGCAGAAGAAACACAGTTACTAGCTGGTGCTGATGCATATGGACAAGTTGACTTAGCATTCGGAAAACTGGTTTCCAAGCATAGCAAAGAATCGACAACATCAGACATGATTTTTGCGCAAAATGACGATGGGACTTGCTCCTGTCATCGTTTTGTGGCAGCTACAGTTGCAAATGGATCACTAGTTGGGTTCATAACGGAGCCAGTCACAGAACTTGCCCGCCCACTTCAATTCAATACTCTACGCTCACTGACAGAAATGGCAACTGGAACGCCGATCGAAAACGCAGTGGCTTATTTGATCACTCATTTGAGAGTGTACAAAGGGCTCCTTCATGGAAGACTCTCCGAAAAGAGGCGCTTTGTGGCTGCAAAACAGATCCGTGGGATTGCTGCAAGCATCGAGAGCAATGGAACGCATTACTTTTTGCAAGTGAACGGAATTCCAATTCACAATTAATTCATTATTACGTTGTTCACAATCTGTACAGTGAGTAATTTGGACGTAACTACTTCGACTACTTCCACCCCCCTCCCTTCCCATTCCAAGTTTCCAGAAGATAATCGAGTAATAAGCAGTGACGATATCAATTCTCATTATTTGATCCTTTATAAACGCTTAAAACACCTCTGATGACATGCCGAAGGTCAAAACGAGGGCAGCGAGCCACGTGGGGGCGGCCTCTCCACGTCCGCGTTTCATCCTCATTTCATCCTCATTTCACCCCCCGCGTCGTCCTCGTTTCATCCCCGGCTTCCCCCCACACTATCATCCAGCGCATTCTCTCCCACTTTCTGTCATTATTAGTGTCATGAAGGCAGTGAAACCCGAAAAAAACAGGACGAGCCGGCCGGAAGAAGCGTTTTTCGCACAACTCTCGATGGTAATCATCTTTTTGTGAATCAGATCCTCGTTCTTACAGAACTATGTAACTTCGAGAAGCACGCTCAACGAACTTGTCAAACCAGCGAAAGAGCAGAAATCTGCTGAAACTGCTCAGGATTCTGACTGGACTATTGCCAATTTAGACGCTCCGTTGGTCAAGATGGCAGCACCGAAATCTACTCCAGAAGCGAGGTCGGGATCTTATGAGAAGCCGGTCAAAGTTTCTCATTCTGACGCTTGGATTCCGGCTGAATTTATGCGTCGGGCGTGTATCGATCCGGTTACGGGTCATCCTTATTCACGAGAAGACTGTGATGTGAGTTATTTGACAATTATATTTCCAGAATTTCGAGAATTCCTTTCAGAGGAACATCGACAACCTGCTCAAGACGAGGAGAAAGATTGATTACTACGGACTCGTCGAAAATGCGTGCCAGGTTGACGTCGTCGTCGACCCTCAAACTTCCTATCTAACTTCGGCGTTTTCGTTGCTCATGGTAAAGTAAACATTGACTTCCATATTCTTTATTCTCTTTTCAGCTCGAAAAAGTGCGAAACGAGAAGAAAGTTAAGAACACTTCGGCTCCTGTGACTCAAATCAACACGGCAAAAGGATTCAACTTGGCGCAGGCAAAAGCGGTGGATTCTCCTGTCGCTTTCCCCGGCGGACTCGTCATAAAGGTGACAGATATGATCACGACTGCTACAGTGCGCGTCATAATGATAGCACACCCCCCTATTTGGACGATATGGAGAGAACTAAAGAATATGACGGAAAATGGTGATTGCCATTGTTTTCTACGCCTAAAAAAACCTACGTAGCCAATTTTCTAGGTATCCCACGCAAAAAATAAGACTAGGGTACCAAAAAGTCGTTAAAACAGGCGCGTCATAAAGATAGCACACCCCTCAAAAAATCATACACTTTCATTCAATTCTTAACTTTTTCTCTGGGTTATAACTTATTTTTTTGATTTTTTTAATTATGCTTTTTGATGTTTTTTTGTTTAATTTATTCATATTTTGTTGGAGTTACAGTAGTACCAAAGTTTTACTACAGCATCCAGTGTGATGTGCAGGCTTCAGAAGAAGGATGATGTGCAGGCTTCACCAGAATTTGGGATTCACTTGAATTAATATTTGGGATTCTCCTAAAAGTACTCTCATTCACTCCTCTCTCAAAAAATAGGACGCTCTACTCTGCTGACCCAATCCGAACAGGATCAAATAAAAGCTTATGGATCAATTGGGACTCAATCATAGCGATATGTCTCGTCGTTTGGGCCGATCAAGAAATGCATCATCAACTTCTTGCGTGATCCGATAACGTACGGCGTGACAAAGTCTCCTGGACGACCAAAAAAACACTCAATGATCGCGATGAACGTGCAGTGGTACGAACTGTATCCAACTCTATGAAGTCTGCCAATGATGCTAAGAAGGAGCTGAACCTTACGGTCTCCACGTCGACTGTCCTTCGTACAATTCAACGTTTTATGGTTATCGGTCATTTTAGGAATCGGTTTCATGATTTGACGAACGATAACTCCAGAGGACAGTCGACGTGGAGACCGTAAGGTTCAGCTCCTTCTTAGCATCATTGGCAGACTTCATAGAGTTGGATACAGTTCGTACCACTGCACGTTCATCGCGATCATTGAGTGTTTTTTTGGTCGTCCAGGAGACTTTGTCACGCCGTACGTTATCGGATCACGCAAGAAGTTGATGATGCATTTCCTTGATCGGCCCAAACGACGAGACATATCGCTATGATTGAGTCCCAATTGATCCATAAGCTTTTATTTGATCCTGTTCGGATTGGGTCAGCAGAGTAGAGCGTCCTATTTTGAGAGAGGAGTGAATGAGAGTACTTTAGGAGAATCCCAAATATTAATTCAAGTGAATCCCAAATTCTGGTGAAGCCTGCACATCATCCTTCTTCTGAAGCCTGCACATCACACTGGATGCTGTAGTAAAAACTTTGGTACTACTGTAACTCCAACAAAAATATGAATAAATTAAACAAAAAAACATCAAAAAGCATAATTAAAAAAATCAAAAAAATAAGTTATAACCCAGAGAAAAAAAGTTAAGAATTGAATGAAAGTGTATGATTTTTTTGAGGGGTGTGCTATCTTTATGACGCGCCTGTTTTAACGACTTTTTTTGGTACCCTAGTCTTATTTTTTGCGTGGGATACCTAGAAAATTGGCTACGTAGGTTTTTTTAGGCGTAGAAAACAATGGCAATCACCATTTTCCGTCATATTCTTTAGTTCTCTCCATATCGTCAAAATAGGGGGGTGTGCTATCATTATGACGCGCACTGTATGTGTGCCAACTGGACAATGGTCCATGAGACCAAGGCGGTCGCTCAGGTGATCCGAGACATAAGCAAAGCTGTGAGTCATTGTTCACTATTCCGTCTTTGACAAAATTTTTTAGCTTGCCGAGCGAGATCCATATTTCGCTATGTACACCATTCCAACTACCACACCGGGGAAGACACACTACGTGATTCTCGACGAAACCATCTTCAACGCTCTAACTGGTAACAATTTTCTACTCACCGTTTTATCTGCACAAGTTTTTCAGAGTTGGTCGTTGTAGGATACAGCATGGATTCAGACTTGATGGACAAGACACGTATTCTATCGCAGATCAAGAGCACGGTATATTCATTCCTGTGAGTTTTTACTTCTCATGAAAGTATAAGCACAAAACACATTTTCAGCGAGAAGAGACGTGCGGAGTTCAACAAGAAACACGGAAAAAATAGTTGTTCCTCATCTGCCAAGGATTTCAAGGACGAGCTCACAAGGTAACTTATTATACTTCTCAGAAGTTGAATGAGTAACCCTACTTTTACAGAAATCCAAATTTTCGCCAAAACCGGATCGAGACTTTCGAGGACGAGAGCCAACTTTTCCACGACGACCGTGACTCTTACGTGCCCAATTTCTATAATATGTGATCTGTTCGAACTTTGGCACGGTTTATCCTATATTTCTGTTAGTTTTTAAAGATAAATAGTAATTGACGTGGAAATGTTTACTGTATGTGAAATATGAGCTAGAATTCCGAAATCCCAAGCGAGCGGGGCCCCTGCGGGGTTCTTTGCCCGCTGAGGATGAAACGAGGACCAAATTTGGGCCAACCTCTCATATCTTTTTTTGTTCCAAATTCGCCACCTTTTCGCCCGTGTTTGAGCCAAATTTCGCCGTGGCGGTTTGCCTGTGTGGCCACGCGGCTCAATCACCCATGGGGCGTATATATAATGGCGACGGGCGCCGTTGGACGCTGTGGTGTCGGTGATATCTCGAGAACGGACGGAGCTATCGAGAAGCATCCAAGAGCAAAAATGATCAGACAAATGTGCTCCATTCATCTAAATACATATCAAAAAGATTCAGAAGTCATTTGAGGATTCAGATGACACCGATAAAAATTATCCAAAATATGACTCGATGTTTATCAAATAAATGACAAAAACACGAAGATTGTATGTCGTCACAAGGAGCTGTCTATTATCACTGAACATGCATGCAATACTTGCAAAAAGGGGTGACTCAGGTATTACGGTGTGAAGACCACAGGATCGAGCTTTCTTTTTCTCAAACTCACTCTAGAATTCTTTCTTCAACCTTCCGCTATCAATCATTCTTCCTGTCGTCCGCCATCCTCTTGGGTTTGAACCGTTTACACACTTCCGGAGTCGCCACGTCCTTCAGTCAGGTCTGAAAGTCGTCACGATCAGTGTCTAACCGAGGCAAATTTCTTTGCACTCGGCGGGGCTCGAACCTGCGGTCTTCGGATTGCTAAGCACAAGCTTAACCGCCTACACCACCCTGGCCACGCGGCTCAATCACTCATGGCGCGTATATATAATGGCGACGGGCGCCGTTGGACGCTGCGTTGTCGGTGATATCTCGAGAACGGATGGAGCTATCGAGAAGCATCCAAGAGCAAAAATGATCAGAAAAATGTGCTCCATTCATCTAAATACTTATCAAAAAGATTCAGAAGTCATTTGAGGATTCAGATGACACCGATAAAAATTATCCAAAATATGACTTGATGTATATCAAATAAATGACAAAAACACGAAGATTGTATGTCGTCACAAGGAGCTGCCTATTATCATTGAACATACATGCAATACTTGCAAAAAGGGGTGACTCAGGTATTACGGTGTGAAGACCACAGGATCGAGCTTTCTTTCTCTCAAACTCACTCTAGAATTCTTTCTTCAACCTTCCGACATTAATCCTTCTTTCTCTCTTCCGCCATCCTCTTGGGTTTGAACCGTTTACACACTTCCGGAGTCGCCACGTCCTTCAGTCAGGTCTGAAAGTCGTCACGATCAGTGTCTAACCGAGGCAAATTTCTTTTGCACTCGGCGGGGCTCGAACCTGCGGTCTTCGGATTGCTAAGCACAAGCTTAACCGCCTACACCACCCCTGGCCACGCGGCTCAATCACCCATGGGGCGTATATATAATGGCGACGGGCGCCGTTGGACGCTGCGTTGTCGGTGATATCTCGAGAACGGATGGAGCTATCGAGAAGCATCCAAGAGCAAAAAAATGATCAGAAAAAAATGTGCTCCATTCATCTAAATACTTATCAAAAAGATTCAGAAGTCATTTGAGGATTCAGATGACACCGATAAAAAAATTATCCAAAAATATGACTTGATGTATATCAAATAAATGACAAAAACACGAAGATTGTATGTCGTCACAAGGAGCTGCCTATTATCATTGAACATACATGCAATACTTGCAAAAAAAGGGGTGACTCAGGTATTACGGTGTGAAGACCACAGGATCGAGCTTTCTTTCTCTCAAACTCACTCTAGAATTCTTTCTTCAACCTTCCGACATTAATCCTTCTTTCTCTCGTCCGCCATCCTCTTGGGTTTGAACCGTTTACACACTTCCGGAGTCGCCACGTCCTTCAGTCAGGTCTGAAAGACGTCACGATCAGTGTCTAACCGAGGCAAACTTCTTTGCACTCGGCGGGGCTCGAACCTGCGGTCTTCGGATTGCTAAGCACAAGCTTAACCGCCTACACCACCCTGGCCACGCGGCTCAATCACCCATGGGGCGTATATATAATGGCGACGGGCGCCGTTGGACGCTGTGGTGTCGGTGATATCTCGAGAACGGATGGAGCTATCGAGAAGCATCCAAGAGCAAAAATGATCAGACAAATGTGCTCCATTCATCTAAATACATATCAAAAAGATTCAGAAGTCATTTGAGGATTCAGATGACACCGATAAAAAAATTATCCAAAAATATGACTTGATGTATATCAAATAAATGACAAAAAAACACGAAGATTGTATGTCGTCACAAGGAGCTGCCTATTATCATTGAACATACATGCAATACTTGCAAAAAAAGGGGTGACTCAGGTATTACGGTGTGAAGACCACAGGATCGAGCTTTCTTTCTCTCAAACTCACTCTAGAATTCTTTCTTCAACCTTCCGACATTAATCCTTCTTTCTCTCGTCCGCCATCCTCTTGGGTTTGAACCGTTTACACACTTCCGGAGTCGCCACGTCCTTCAGTCAGGTCTGAAAGACGTCACGATCAGTGTCTAACCGAGGCAAATTTCTTTTGCACTCGGCGGGGCTCGAACCTGCGGTCTTCGGATTGCTAAGCACAAGCTTAACCGCCTACACCACCCCTGGCCACGCGGCTCAATCACCCATGGGGCGTATATATAATGGCGACGGGCGCCGTTGGACGCTGTGGTGTCGGTGATATCTCGAGAACGGATGGAGCTATCGAGAAGCATCCAAGAGCAAAAAAATGATCAGACAAATGTGCTCCATTCATCTAAATACATATCAAAAAAAGATTCAGAAGTCATTTGAGGATTCAGATGACACCGATAAAAAAATTATCCAAAAATATGACTTGATGTATATCAAATAAATGACAAAAAAACACGAAGATTGTATGTCGTCACAAGGAGCTGCCTATTATCATTGAACATACATGCAATACTTGCAAAAAAAGGGGTGACTCAGGTATTACGGTGTGAAGACCACAGGATCGAGCTTTCTTTCTCTCAAACTCACTCTAGAATTCTTTCTTCAACCTTCCGACATTAATCCTTCTTTCTCTCGTCCGCCATCCTCTTGGGTTTGAACCGTTTACACACTTCCGGAGTCGCCACGTCCTTCAGTCAGGTCTGAAAGACGTCACGATCAGTGTCTAACCGAGGCAAACTTCTTTTGCACTCGGCGGGGCTCGAACCTGCGGTCTTCGGATTGCTAAGCACAAGCTTAACCGCCTACACCACCCTGGCCACGCGGCTCAATCACCCATGGGGCGTATATATAATGGCGACGGGCGCCGTTGGACGCTGTGGTGTCGGTGATATCTCGAGAACGGATGGAGCTATCGAGAAGCATCCAAGAGCAAAAAAATGATCAGACAAATGTGCTCCATTCATCTAAATACATATCAAAAAGATTCAGAAGTCATTTGAGGATTCAGATGACACCGATAAAAAAATTATCCAAAAATATGACTTGATGTATATCAAATAAATGACAAAAAAACACGAAGATTGTATGTCGTCACAAGGAGCTGCCTATTATCATTGAACATACATGCAATACTTGCAAAAAAAGGGGTGACTCAGGTATTACGGTGTGAAGACCACAGGATCGAGCTTTCTTTCTCTCAAACTCACTCTAGAATTCTTTCTTCAACCTTCCGACATTAATCCTTCTTTCTCTCGTCCGCCATCCTCTTGGGTTTGAACCGTTTACACACTTCCGGAGTCGCCACGTCCTTCAGTCAGGTCTGAAAGACGTCACGATCAGTGTCTAACCGAGGCAAATTTCTTTGCACTCGGCGGGGCTCGAACCTGCGGTCTTCGGATTGCTAAGCACAAGCTTAACCGCCTACACCACCCCTGGCCACGCGGCTCAATCACCCATGGGGCGTATATATAATGGCGACGGGCGCCGTTGGACGCTGTGGTGTCGGTGATATCTCGAGAACGGATGGAGCTATCGAGAAGCATCCAAGAGCAAAAAAATGATCAGACAAATGTGCTTCATTCATCTAAATACATATCAAAAAGATTCAGAAGTCATTTGAGGATTCAGATGACACCGATAAAAATTATCCAAAATATGACTTGATGTATATCAAATAAATGACAAAAACACGAAGATTGTATGTCGTCACAAGGAGCTGCCTATTATCATTGAACATACATGCAATACTTGCAAAAAGGGGTGACTCAGGTATTACGGTGTGAAGACCACAGGATCGAGCTTTCTTTCTCTCAAACTCACTCTAGAATTCTTTCTTCAACCTTCCGACATTAATCCTTCTTTCTCTCGTCCGCCATCCTCTTGGGTTTGAACCGTTTACACACTTCCGGAGTCGCCACGTCCTTCAGTCAGGTCTGAAAGACGTCACGATCAGTGTCTAACCGAGGCAAATTTCTTTGCACTCGGCGGGGCTCGAACCTGCGGTCTTCGGATTGCTAAGCACAAGCTTAACCGCCTACACCACCCTGGCCACGCGGCTCAATCACCCATGGGGCGTATATATAATGGCGACGGGCGCCGTTGGACGCTGTGGTGTCGGTGATATCTCGAGAACGGATGGAGTTATCGAGAAGCATCCAAGAGCAAAAATGATCAGAAAAATGTGCTCCATTCATCTAAATACATATCAAAAAGATTCAGAAGTCATTTGAGGATTCAGATGACACCGATAAAAATTATCCAAAATATGACTTGATGTTTATCAAATAAATGACAAAAACACGAAGATTGTATGTCGTCACAAGGAGCTGTCTATTATCACTGAACATGCATGCAATACTTGCAAAAAAAGGGGTGACTCAGGTATTACGGTGTGAAGACCACAGGATCGAGCTTTCTTTCTCTCAAACTCACTCTAGAATTCTTTCTTCAACCTTCCGACATTAAT